TGATACATTTGCCCGTCCTCGAACTGACCGGGCCAGTTCTGATGACCATGCTGGACGAGGAAATTGCTCAGTCTTCTGCCGAACTCGAGACGGCGACAAGGCAGTGGCGACTTCACAGGCTTCTGACGGAGCTTATCTATCGCACTAGAGATACTCTCGGGGACTGAGAAAATAAGAACGGATCGGCTCTAGTTCATCCATAGCCCAATAGTACGTATCCAAGCCACGAAGTGGTGAATATTTCCGACAAAAAATCCGCTTATTGACGTATATATAACAGTCAGACAAGGCGCTTGATACAGGGGAGAGATATGTCATACACGTCAATCGAATCAAAATCAACAATCCCATGTGAGCTACACTAACCTGAGTAGTCCCCTTCCCCAGCATGATAAGCTTCACACGCTGCCTTATGGCCGAGACAGATGTTGTAGAAGGCAATCAGTCGCGCGCTAGAACTCGATCCAGGACCACCACGAAGAGACGGGAAGCCTGACATACAGCACAGAACAATTTTGACCCAGTGTAGGAATATATGTTAGGTTTCCTTAACTGCAGTATATGAAAACCAACCATGACAAATTCCATATTCTTACCAACACTTTGATACTCCACAGATTTATATCATAATTTACTATAAGACCTTACCAATATGATAATATCGATATCTGGACTAACATCTATATAACCACAAAGGATTAATAATAAATCGTATCAATACATGATTCATCAGTTCACTGACCACATGCACACATTCCCACACTATCTTCACAATCGACTCTCACCGTTCTTCAGCAGCATCTCGATCTCCTCCTCACAGGCATCCCAGTTGAGATAGCCGTGAGCCTCTAGCATCCTCGTACTCCAACAACCGAGGTGAAACTTCATGATATCCGGTATGATTACCTGAACGAACATCTAATAACAAAAACATCCAACAAAAGGACTTACCGCTTTGCTCGAGAAACATAGTCGAGGCATGCGATCCACAGCTTTTTTGGACATCTCCAGTAAGGCATCGATCTCAGCCACTTTAACCACCCCGAAAGGTGCAAGGTAGTAGTACCGCTGTTCTTCCAAGGCGTCGAAGGCAAACCGATCGTTCAGACCACGCTGACGAACCAGTGTGGGAGAAAATTCACATGGTCAACTAGGTGATAATATGGGAAAATTTTGGGCAATTATTATTGGTTTCTGTACACTTCTATCCAGAATCGTATAACCCCTTTAGTAAGGGAGGAAACTACAGAGCTCAGCTGATGAATTCAAGCATACATTCCCACACTGCTGAAAACTGATACCGACTCCATCTTACTTTAAGCCACACGCTCTTCTTCTCATTCCGACTTCTGCTCGTCTTAGCTACGGCTATAGCCAGATTCATACGCCGACGATGGTCCAGCGCTTTAGGTAGGAGTCGGATCAGCACAACACCGGTGAGAACTCCCAACATCATCACGGCAAGCAACTGACATATAGAAATCTACTTAAAACAAGGCGAACTGACCTACCATAGCATAGGGAATCCATTTGCGGATATCATACAGCACTCCGCACAATAGAATGGACACGCACTTCGACAGGTTGGACGAGACTGAGGTAAGTGCCATAACGCGGCCTTTTACCGATACGTCGCAGAGGCGTGGAAACATCTGATTAGATGATACAATTCTCGGGAATTCTCATTAGTAAGACGCACCGTAAACACTCCTAGATTAGCCAACGGCAAACCGGCAGACAGAATAGCCCCGACAATGCAGATAACCCAAATCTTCTCGGCGAAAGGTGGCACTATAATACACGTGGAGATACCAAAACCAAATATCGTCAGCGTGGTAATCGTCCAGTGTAACTTCTTCATAGCAAAGGGCAGGAACAACAACTGACTGACTGAAGGGGAATGGAGTAAATACCGCACTATGAAGAGAATCCGCAGCTTACTCATGATAGCAATACCACACCAGCCACTAATGAGGCCCATAACAAGGCTGGAGAATCCCATATCCTGTTGCATTGTAACAAGGAGGACTGACCATCCCTGAGTGCCCATGTTGACGAAGCAACAAGCCAGAATGAAAGGGATAATACCCGACCTGACAACAGCCTCACACTCATCTTTATGTGGCTCTTACCATTCGACCATCGGGCCGGGGTTCCTCATGGACGCCTCTTCCCCTTCTTTGACTTGGACTTCCTTGTGTGATCCAGGGCGAATCGCAGCTAGGAACTTCGCCAGGCCCAACTTCTCACCGACATCTCGCGGCGACTTATCCACGAAGAACCACATGAGCAGGAATCCAGTGAAGTTGAGGGCGAACCCAATATAGGCTGAATTCAGTGGCTCTGACGTATCAGCCTGAACATTAAGTTTCGTCTTGGCAGCTGAGCTCAGTCACTAATCATGAGAATTCACACGAGAATTTCCTCAAAATCTTCCTATTGTCATCAACACACGTAGTTGACCATATGCATATATCCCCACACCGAGTAGCACTACCCCAGAGACTACCTCCACGACGATACCACCCAACAGAGGGCCGATGAACGAGGCCAGACTAGAGGCCACAGGCATCAATGACATCCAGAAAGTGAGCATATCCGGAGTTTTTATCCAGTCTGAGATGTACCTAGCCACACAGGTTCGACCATGACCGATTTATTGCCGTAGTTCAGCTTACACTGTCACAACGGGACGCGTGCCACCGACCAAACCAGTGAAGAGGCGGAATCCGATGAGAGACCAGTAATCCCACGACAGTGCCTGAGCACAACTGCTTAATTGAAGAGAGAGAGATAAACGCTTACTTGCAAGAGGAAACCAATAGAAGTGAGAAACGTGCAGAACACAATAATATTCCATCGACCAATGAAGTCTGACATGCTCCCCAGCACTGTCCCTGAGAGGGCTCTACCCAAGATGTACGCTAATGTTATGAGCGACGTGGATATGCCGAATTCCAAGTCTGATAGAAAAACCGTAAAAAGCCTCGTCATCACTTGATCCTCAGACTTACTCTCGGGACCTTTCTCGCTTATGAAACTGTCGTAGGATGGTGCCAAGAGGTTGTCGCCGAGATAATCAGCAAAGACACAACCAAGGCAAATAAGTAGATCAAGTCGGACCTTCTTAGGAGTCCTCATGAAAGGATGTCGTTGCTTCTTC